CCTAAACTTTTAAGTTGCTTGCTTCTTTGTAAACAACAAAGAAACTCAAGCAATAATCAGATTAAAAACAAATGTTTTCAAAAGACATTTTGACATACAAAATCTTACTCAATTCTTCAAGCTTTTCACCATTAAGATATAAATAGTGCTACTTTTAAATAAAAAGATAGTAAGAGATACGTTTTCTAAAAAAAGGGGGGGGATTAAAATGAACGCGTAAAAGGTTTTATGAAAATCAGTAAAATCCTTGTATGTATTTCAATATTATCAAAATTATTTAAAAAAGTTGAATTTAAGCTTAATGATTCTGAAATTATTCAAAGTGAGATTTGAGTAACTTAATAAAAAAATAAGAAAAAAAATCAAAGATCCCCAAATAATAATAATAATAATAAGGCAATCTGGTCATTGTGGAGAGTTTGGTTTCATTCCATATCTGTTGATAAACAAGATGAGATATGTATCAAGAAAAAGAGACAAAGGGACATAACTCTGTAAGAAAAAGAAAAAAGAATTTTGTAGTAAATTATCATAAAAGACAAGAAGATTTAAGAAAACATCTTTATTTATTTACATGCCTGTACCTGTAAAGGAGTGTGTAATTGTGTGAATGTATGTCCATGGTGGATGTGTGAGAGTTGTTTCGCATGGACTGCATGTGAGTGTTAGTAACAATATAAACAAGTCTAGGCTTTATAGGATTTCTTTTGGGGCGTTTTTGTTTGTTTGTTTTCAGAATGACTACATTTGCCAACAACATTTGCGTGCAGTAAGACGTACTGGCTGTGGCAGTCAATGCCATTAGCCAACCCATATTTCTGATGGGGGTAAGGTCTTTATCAATAGGAGAACACACATGCACATTCACACAGACGCACTCGCGCACTTTGGCGCCCGCAATTACAGAATTCTTTTATGCTTATTTTCGCACTCACCATTCAATCGCAAACGTTACACTCTGTCCCCACCCCAACACTCAAGAGCCAAACCCACCAAAATCACTCCAAAGGGAATCAGCTCCCAGCTACGAGTTGAACTCTTCTGTAGAGTGGGAAATAGCATCAAGGGACAAAGTGGCCATTGAAGAAAGCGTCACACAAGCTATGTACAATTACAGACACCCAGCTTTTACGTGTACTTATACACATGCTAGCATATAAAATGCATCTATGCATGTGTGTAAGTATTAACTGTCCTGTGAGTCTATCATTAAATGATAAAATAGCTTTTCATTTGTCTGTATCATCTCTTCCAAGGCTCTGATATTATACGCACTAACCTGTCAAGGCATATCAAAGACGAGGTCTTGAAAAAATAAAACCCAAGAGATTTAACGAAATAGAAGAATAATCTTTGGAGATGGAAGCGTGGCACAGCCAAAATGACAAAAAAAAATGTTGAGTTCTGGAAATTGAAATCTCTAACTAGACTGTACAGGTAAGAAACAATATTAGAGCCTCTGAAAAGATGCTGACCAAACAGAAAAGGTAACACCTGTTGATTGAGTCAAACAAATAGAAACCAGGGGAGGGGGAGAGAGAGAGAGAGGGGAGGTAGGTGAAAATAATACTATGACTACTACTACTACCAATAATAATACATTTAAAAATAAGAAGTAGTCCGTTAATAATAGAAGCATGGGAGTGTATCAAGTAAGCAACTTAATAAAAGAGCAACATCAAAGATAAGAAAGATAAGCAAAGGACACATAAAAAGAGAAAACATAGAAGAAAAGCCACAGAGAAAGAAAGATAAAAGAGGAACTAGGAAAGTGAGAGGGAAAAGGCAGAAGGAAAGACAGAGGAGGAATAAGAAAGAGACAGTAGTAGTTATGACAGTTGAGTGCATCATATATTTTATAGAATGCAACCTTCAAATGAAAAGTGAGTCAAATATACATAATGTTGGAATTTGGAGTCAGATGATCAGTCAGTTTTTACTGCTGCAGAAATAAAATACCTGGGAACACCTCTTGGCTATTGCAGATAGTTCAAGTACACAAACGTACGTGATATGGTGGGCAGAGGTTTTGAAAGACCGTCAGTGTTGAGATGACCATTTCTTCACTCAATCTTGAATCTGTCATTTCCAAAATGTAGCCATCAATAGTTTTCACCAGATGAGCAACTTGAGACCAAACAAGTGTTTAGTATATTTTTGTCAAAAGTACACAAAAAATACAAACAGATTGGCAGGTGAAAAACAAAGACTTGAATCCAAGTCTATTAACGAATATGGCTCGAGAAAAAAAAAAAAAAAAGAAAAAAAAGATAATGGTAAACTGCTCATTATGCTTACAAGCCACACATAAAACAACATGCACCAGTGTTATGGAATACATCTGATTTTCAATCAGTAATCAATTGGTGATGCTGCAAAAATTAATGGTAGCCAAAGCAAAAGTTTGTTGACCACAGCAGACATATGCTTTGTACATGTTTTTGACTAACGTCAATAAGCAATAAAGCAGTTACATTAAGGAAATATGCTAAAGTTGATATTTGTAGTTGAAAAGAAATATTGCAATATAGTTAGGCATATATCTTTTTTTTTTTTTTTTTTTCCATTTTTGTGTTCTTATGTATTTATCATGTAACAAGTTGTGTTATCTTTATCAAATTGAAAATACAATCCACTCAATAATTGACCCCTGCACTTTCTTTTAATTTTTATCTACATTATGCATTGAAGAATTTTAAGATGGTCTCTCTCTCTTTCTGATCTCACACTATCAACTTTCTGTTTTGTATTACAAAATGAATATCGAGAGATCTTAGATACTTGTCTCTTGTCTGCTGAAGATGTAAAAAGATTGTCATCAGTTAAAAAACCGAGACACTTTCTTTTTGCTTGACTACCTGGTTAACAGCAGCCATATTGTACACTCAGTTATCAAATATCACAAAAATATAATTGGATCACTAAAAAATCAGCCAGAAACTCTCATTGCTACTCATGGGAAAATACATTTAGTGAATTTTCAAAAGGGTTCTCCCCCATTATTTTTTTTATGGCTGTAGAATTATATTAATAAATTCATTGACCATGAAAGAAAATCCTGTTGAGATTATGAAGGCTGAGAAGCAAAAGAAAATAGAATTTCATTTTTCTGCCTTCTGATGAGTTGACCTCTGCCAAGGAAAAGCCTATCTTTTTGGTCCACTGTGAAAAGGAATTCAAAATATTAAAAGAATTTTTCAAAATAGTTTGTCATTCTGTTTGTCAAGCAGAGTAATCATTATGATGGCAGTTAGAGAAATAAAAGCGTGAGCTACAAAAGGAAAAATGGCTTCCAGTTGAATATTCTGCAGTCTGTGTCTCAAAGAGAGATTTATTCAGAAACACCCATTTTGAAAACCTCTACTCAATCAATCAATGTGTGTGTGTGTGTGTGTGTGTGTGTGTGTGTGTGTGTGTGTGTGTGTGTGTGTGTGTGTAAGAGAGTGTATACATATACATTTTCCAAATCAAAATTGGCAAAATCGTCATCACATTTGCATTAACAATCCTGAATGCAGGTGTCAAAGGACATTCCTAGAATGAAGAATTTTGAAGAACTGCAGCTGAGTTCATCATGAGAAACAAAGTGAAAATGAGGACATCTTTGCTCTGACCAAATTGAAGAGAATGAAGAATCCAGTCATCAGTAAAAATACATTAATACGCATAACAGGTTGCCAGCCATTATGAATTATAGAAAAATAACTGCCCCAAATTAAAGCTAGGTCATCTACTGATAAATGTATGACCATTGTTTACAAATAAATCATCATCATCATTTGACATGTAGTGTTAACTCATACAGAATTAGAAGTCCTAGCATTGTACACTTCAACAGTAAGAAAGATGAACAGCCAATAGATTTGACACAGGAAGGCTGGACTGCCCCTTAGCAAAGAGAAATAATACAGAAACTAGAACTGAGGTATAAGATTTCAACAATGAAACAAATCAGCACCAAAAATGCTGAATTTGAAAATGAAAAAAATAAAAAAAAAATGAAAAAACAACAAAAACAAAAGAAAGCATGAAGTTGATAAAAATTAAATTAAAAACGTTAAGTAAAAAATGAAAAATACAAACAGAGGAAAGGGGAGGTAACTTTGTTTTTTGCTTTTTAGTAAAAGAAACGTTTTTTTTTCTGGATACAGAAGGCTTTAAGTGACCAGATGTGAACTAAAAATGCCACCAAATTTATTATAATTCCAGATTTCATCAATGTTGGACTAGCTTGTTAATTTGTTAAATCATTTGGCTGGTGTTTGTTTTATTATTTGAGAAACTAAAAAGAAAGCACTTCATTGTATGATATGCTGAGGGAGGGAAGGAGGGAGAGAGAGAAGGGGTGGGTCATGTCTCGTGGGGCAGTGCAGGTAGCAGGGTAGTTGAATTCCTTAACTAAAAGTTTCTCCTCCATGGGAGGTATCCCAGCAACCCCTAAGCCACCCTCTAAACACATGCACATGCATACATACACAAAAAGAGTAAGACAATCACACACAGGCAGACAACACATATTTAGACACAAACATACATGAACCAAGAAAGACAGGTATGTATAGAGATGATTCAAATTACAAAATACAGACACACATGTACACACAGGTAGATGAGAGAATTCAGGCACACACACATCCACATGCAGACAGAGGGTTAGGCTCAGGACAAAAGCAACAATGGCTAACAATCAAAATAATCCAGATAAAATGTTTTACAGATAGGTTTTCCTTTTTAATTTCCTTTGGGCATGTCAAAAAATCTGCACAAAAAAAAAAAAAGAAAGAAACATTAACATAGAGAACGTTGATTAATGGTTCAGTGGCAGATACAGTTGAACAGAAGTATATTACAATATATGGATGCATTTTACACATGGATTAAATTGTGTGTTATTGTTAGAGGATTCTGCAATAGGTGTGTGTGTGTGTGTGTGTGTGTATGTGTGTGTGTGTGTGTAACAGAGAGAGAGGTGAAGATGTTTCAGTGTGTGTCTATGCAGATTAAGTGGTCAATAGATCTAAGGCTTTGTCACTGTCCAGCTTGGAGGTCACAAGGGCTTCTTGGATCTTCGATCTCTGGAAGCCAAGTTCCACAAATTGTTGGTGAAGATGAATGTAACATTCAGCCTGCAAGACACAAAATACAAATTCTCTTAAACATCATAAATTCTTTTTTATAATTATATTGTTAAAAATTTGCTATATTTACCAAAGAGAAGAGTGTTCAATATCAGAGATAGAGTATTTGTAGATATAAACAATGTGAACATCGGAATCAACACTGCATGGTGACAGGTAGTCTAATGATCACTTAAGGTGTGAAACTGACAGAAATCAACTCTGCATCATCTCTGTCCAAATTGTTTATATCAAAATTGTATTTTAGAAAGGTTTTCACAATTATTGTCAAGCAGCTTTTATAAACATTAATAAAACTAAAAAGACAAAAAGTAGCTTTTATGAGTTGCTTCAATCTATTATATAAATTCATCAGAACATAAAGATTGCTTTGAGAACTCATAATATTCTGACAGTGATTACGAAAAAGAGATGAAAAGTCAAAATGAATGAAAGAAAATTATTTGAACCTTTTGAATGTCATTGTCAAACAAATGTAGAGCATCTTCCACCAATTGTGGGTCATGACCTTCTTCTCCCAATTTATCCACCATACAAAGATGATCAATCACCTAAAGCAGAAGGTAAAAAAGAAAAGAAAAAAAAAAAAGACATTATCTTTTGGTCCAGATAAATATTTTCAGAAATTATTATTACAATAAAACTAATCTATTTAGTTTTGTTGGCTATTCAATGGAATAATTAAATTGTAGATTCCCAAAATGATGTGATGTACAGAAAATGAGAAATATACAAATAATAAATAATACAGGTTTTATGAGGTCAGCCAATTCACACAGACATGCAATATTAATAAATCATATTACATGCATCCATATTAAGTAGTTTTTGTCCTTAATCCAAGAACTGGGGAGGACAGGAATTTCTGCTGCAGTTAATAAATTAATATATTTTCACTGAGAATTTATGAGTGTTTGAAAATTTCTCAAAATGTGACACAGTTCAAGCCCAGGAAGATTAGATTAAGGACCAAATGCAAAACAACTTTAATTTGAAACATACAATAATAAACTCCTGTCATCAGACCAAATACAAGCAAGATCGGAATCAGAGTTGGAAAGCAAACCAAAAATGGAAGTGTGATCTCCATTTTAAATGAATTTACAAAGGGGAAATGTTTTTATGGTTCTTTTTCTAAGATTATTGGTCTCCAATACAAAAATCTATTTTTATTTATATTTCTAAATAGATAAAAAAAATTTCCTTAGCTTCTTCATTGGTCATTTTTTTTTGTTTTTAAACCACAAAATTATTATTTTTATAATTTTTGGTAATTATACAAAGAATTTTTATAACACTGCACTTAAACATTTAAAGTCTGTATTTTTCTAAAATTAGAGTTGATTTTCATGTTATTACCAATTCATTCAGCAAGTATTTCTGAGGTATACAAGTAAAAATAATAAAAGAAAATCAAAAGCTCTTGGAATAATAATGACACACATGAAAATTACATAATGTATCTTCCTTTTTACTTTTAACAAATACAAGTGTAAACTGAAGGACATTTTGTATATTGCTTTGCTAATGGATTCTGCTATTCTAAGCAGAGCTTCCAATTAACAAGTGCATATCTTCCTATGAAAATGAGGTGCATTAACAGAAAGTTTGATTTATTTTGATAAAATTACATGTGGTAAAAATGGCTTATATATGTTGAAGAAAAGTTGTTTAAATTTTTGTTATTTCCCTTTCTGGTATCAAGCTTACACACATGCACACAATAAAAAAAATACAACTAATCAAGGAATTATGATGAGACAAAATTGACAAAACAAAAGACATTTTTAAAGAATGTAAAAAAAAAAAAAAAAAAAAATTAAACTTTAATTTTTCTTTTATTGACAAGATGATTTTCTTTTATCTTTATTAAATGTCTCTCCGCCATTGTTATGAATTATTTTATTTCATTTTTGTGCTCTTTAATGTTAGCACCCTGCCTGAAATCTATTGTATATTATGGAACTTTATCTTTAATTATGATGATAATCTTTCTCAGAATGTTACTTTTGTCTTTTTCTGTTCATTTCTAAACATTTTCCCCCATTCACATAACTTAGCAATGGTTCTAATGGAGGTAAAATATTGTCTACTCCCATCTCTTCCAGATGACACTTTCAAGGCATGTTGAAAATAGTTTTGGTAAAAATCATTTCATCATTTCAAATCTTTATCTTGGTTTTAGTCAAATTATTTCAGTATTGTTACTATTGTTAGATTTTTAGTCACTTACATAGTTTTTATTCATAACCTGCTTTTGTAGCGAGTTAAAGACTGTCATGTGTTCAAATGAGTCATACAGCTTTTCATAGTGATCAAAAACTAAAGAAAGTTAGCCGTTATATTTCGTTCTTTCTTTTCATTCACTTGACCTGTTGTTTGTCTATTGTTAGGCAGCCATTTCTAAATCCTGTCTTATCCTAAATCATTGCTTTCCATCATTTATCCATTATTTGTCACTAGGTTTGTAAAGACTTCTAATAATAATTAGTAATCATAATGTGTGCAGGGGACAAATTCTTTCTTATCTTCTCCTTATTTCAAATTTCCTTTCACCAGATTCTCTTTTTCTGGTCCTTAATTTCGAATGTGGAATTTGTTTTCTCTTTATAATGTTACTGATGTCATAAAAACCTTCAGATTTCCTCAGCTGAACTTTTCAAAGTTGGTGCATATACCTAGATTAATTTTAAAGAGTATCTTTTACAAAATCTGTTTATTATCTAACCTACTCTGTTTGACAGACACTGTAAATATTTTATATGTTGGCCACAATTGGTGGCTAAATATCCTATACCATTAAACTGGTTCTTTTCCTTTCTCTTATAATAAACAGAATGTTTATTTCCTTTCAGTTGGAAAAGATTCTCTTTCTTTTCCTGTGAGTCTTACTAATAAGCTACTAAATGTCGAGGTGACTTTTTCAGTTCCATTAGTTGTTTCAGTTTGTAGTCTTTAGCTAAGATTCAAACATTATGGATGCTTATCTTCATGTTCTTGGATTTTTTTGTAGTCTTTTTTGTCAGCTTTGACAATACCAGCTCACCATTAGCACATAAGGCAATGTGGTTGGATCTTTGTTTAATTAATAATCCAACAAGAACATCATGCTACATGAACTTCATATGATTCATGCTATGATGAATTTGATAGATTGATTTCAATCAAGGTTGCCTCAGAGATCCACTGTCCCTTTATCACCTAGTGTATCGCAGAATGTTAGATATGAGTACATGTACAATTTTGAAAGGTGTATTGAACTAGAGGATCAAGCCAGAAAACAAAACACATGCTGACTCAAAGTGGCAAGCTTAGAGGAGAAGACACTTTTTCTGATGACTATAGTCAAAAGAATAATTAGCTTAAGCAAGGAAGAGGAATTTACTAATTGGAATAATTGCAGGCGTCTTTGATAAAATTAAGAGGACTGAGACAAAATATCAAGATAAAATTGCAGAAAATTTACTGAATATTATGAAAAATAAAAAAAGGTTAAGAGTGAAGGTGTTATATTACATTGATATATAGTCATGGAAAGTAAACAGAACGAATATAGAAAGCAAACAGAATGAATATATCTGTCTATATTTCTGAGATGAGGTATTATTTACATTATTCGGACTATTGTCCTCATCTTTGTCACCATATTTATTACAACGTTTCGGCCGTTGTACGCTTCGGCCTTCTTCAGGTGGTTGGAATGTCGAACTGAACCCTTTATTTCGCTCACTGGGGTCGACTGTTCTAGTTCCACGTTTAATGGATGTCAGTTATCAGTTATCTCCTGTTAATTTAGCTCTGAAATTTCTCCATTGCCTTAACCGGGTATTGAACTCACACTCTTTGGGTCCTGTCACTGGATCTAACTAACGCCTTTATCCACTGTGCCATGTGTCCTTGAGAATGAATATAGTTTGAAAACAAGGATAAAAAGAGAGACTGAAATTTTGTGATTATTTCTTTTTACTATCTCAATTTGTTCAGGGATTTAATCCCCCTATATAGGTAATCTGAACACTTTACTTACTTATAATTTGATAAAATTGATATGCAAATGGAAGTATCCCCCCACCACTACCATATACAAAAGAAACATAGGAAATTCTCTGAATCAAAATAGTAAATTCTCTGATTAACATGTAATAAACAGATAACTTTTTGACAATCAAGCAGCTAAATGATTAGATTAGTAGAAAAACTAGATCATTTTGTACATTGAATGGTTTTCTCCTTTGATCAGAGTAGAATTTTTTATGTCAAAATTGTTGCCAGTCTCATTATGGTGAGCAACTAATACATTTAATTTATTGTCTTGTAAAATATCCTTTTTGTGTTCATATAATCTTTTATTTAAATTCCTTGAGGTTTCACTCATGTTGTTTTTGTGCACATGTGTAATCACACCAACAAATTTAGTTCAATGGAATCTAGAAGGACGAAATGCACTACATGAAAACTTTTTTACACTTCATCATACATTTTCCCCCAATATTGATCTTGACATATAAAATATATATATATATATATTGTTATATATTTAGGTATGTCTAAATAATAACCACATCTTCAATACACTATACACCAAACCCACAGGTCATTGCTACCTAAATTTTAACAGCTGTCACCCTACCAACCTAACAAAAAAAAAAAAAAAAAAAAAATTAATAATTTACAGCTCATGCTTACTCATAAAACATATCTGTTCACAAAATGGGGATTACAAAAAAAAATATAGAACAATTATTCAGTTACTTTCTTAATAGGAATTACCCACTATCAAAAAATCAATTACTAAGGCTTCCAAACAAAATAGAAACAGTCTTCTAAGCTGTGAAAGAAAAAAGAATAATCCCAGAATTTCCATCGTTTTTTATTTTAATTACAACAATCACAAGCTTTCTTATCTTAACTAAAGATTTTCAGTATTTAAAAACTTGACTAAACAATTGAAAAATATTCAGTGAAAACCCACTTCACACTAAGCGTCATCTCCCACTCAATCTATGCACTCTTAACATCATCCGATATACGGTTCATCACCTCACCAAAGGAATATCACACCTGCAATAAACCCTGATGCCAAGTCTGTAAGCATATCATCACTGATAGCAATTTCAGACCCTATTGGCACTGACATCGTATTCAAACCACTGGCTCTGAATTGTGACAGTTTAAATCTTATATATTTGCTTTTCTGCCACAAGTGCAGAAAAGGAAATTATGTTGAAGAAACTGGAATGGAATTCCATCCTTCGTTCAATAACAAAAAAAAAAAAAAAAAAAAAAGAAACATCAAGGAAAACAACAATTTCCCCGTTGCTGCACACTTCAACCAAATGTTTCATAGACATTAGATGCGTGCTTTTAGTGTCTTCATTCAATAGTCGACAAGAAATACACAGATTAGAATCAAAATTTATTTTAAATATTCACATATTGCGGGATTAAAACAGGGATTTGGGTTTATTCAGAGAGTATAATTTCCACAGGGAGGACCTCTAACAATAACATTCCTTGGAAGAGTAAGTGTTTCACTACTTTGTTTATCCCTTGTATCATTGTTAAAGAGCACAGCAGTGTTTGAAAATTCCAAATCATTTTATTGGCTTTTTAGTCTTCAAATTTTATTAACCAGCCTATTATATATATATATATATATATAAAAATAACCATTTGAATATAAAAGTAACCAAAAAAAACTCAGTTACAGTTACATTTTCAATCAGTCTCCCCAGAGGGATTCTTCTTGGTTGTTTTATATCTAAAACACAGTGCATTACTAAATTTAACTTTAAAACTTAAGCTGTGTGTGTGTGTGTGTGTGTACATATGCATGCATTAGAGTGAGTGTAAGTAAATTATATCCATGTGTACTAGCTGCATGATAGCAAGAGAAAGGAAACAAACAAAACATCTTACTTCTTTGTCATCCAGTCCTAGCTTTTCCACGGCTCTAGCCACACGGGCTCGAGGGAATCCCATGGAGAGGTATTGCTGCACAAAGTTCTGGGCTTCCTGTGACATGGTGGGGAATGGATCATTCACCTGGTTACAGTCTGTGGGGCTGTCATCACTGCAGCTCGTCTCCACTGAGCTCTGTGAAACCTGACCATTGTGCCGACTCCGAATAGGTGGAACTGGTGGGTGTCGGCTCCACGACTGCAGATCAAACACAAAAGGCAGGAAAAAAAAAGAGGGGATCAATAAAAGTAGTTATATTATGAACAGAACTGACCTTAATTATTTCTTGTAGTTAATTTGAAAGACAAAATGCAATAAGAATATTTCATTTGCAAAATCATAAATACATGTCAACTGAAATATATTGAAAGAATACATAACTGAATTTATTTGCAAATATATGAAAACTGGTATCAATAGCAAATTTTTACAACAGAGTGCTGAAAAGTTCTTGGCTGTGGTCAAAAGCTTTTCAGAACCCACTATATCATTCTACCAATTTCAAGTCATCTGCTTGTTGATTTGTTTTAAGGAAGAGGAACAACAGATTTGGTTTGATCAAATCTGAAGCTCTGTACTGAAATTTACTATGCTTAGTTTAATACAGGGAGAATGGTGATAAGATTGTTTCACATCAACCTTCCAAGTGGAGAAGGTCTACTTCCTGAGAATAAAAAAAAAAAAAAAAAAAAAAATCACTATTCGATACTTGACATGTACATTGACATGTAGGTAATATATAATTACCATAACCATCTGACAGGCCTATTTGTGGTTTTGTATGAATGCTCTTTATACTAACAGCCCAATTTGAAAACATTATCTCTTTTCATTAATATTTGTAAACTTCAATTTGTCATTAAATAAAAAGCATTGACATTACCTTTAAATATTTGAAAACAAAAAAAATTACAAAAAGCTGAAGGATTGAACATTCACATTAAAATCAGTGAGTTTCTTGGAATATGATTCTATATGTAACCTATTATTAAATAGGTCACCTTAATTTCACAAGAATAGCTATTTCGTAAATAATAAAAATTTTCAAAGAGGAAAAAATAAAGATGCACAAAACTAGTCAAAAGGGGAAAAAAAAATGAAGAGAAAAATATCAATTTAGTTTCCATTTGCATGTGTAAGAGAGAAGTCTATGAATATTCTTACGTATTTTTGATAAAGTTTCATTTATAATTCAGTACCTGTTATAACAGCACCATTGAATTCCATAAAATGCCATCACATAAGAATGCAGGGTTTGCTCTAAATTAGGGTTAAAGAAAATCAGTGCTTATATAGTTTAAATTACTATAACTTTTAATTAAGATTTTGTGTGTGTATATATATATATATATATATATATATATATATAGAGAGAGAGAGAGAGAGAGAGAGTATGACCCTGTTACATAAATATTGACCCATCATCATATATCAGAATGTGTTAAAATGGGGGCACATAAAAATCAGCATTTTATTGTATTTGTGATAAGGATTTGCTGCTTGTAATAAAAACTAAAATATATGAATTCAGCATCCAGTTTGGTAACATTTACTTGAATTCTCAGATGACATATACAAATAAGTATTTAACCGAAATTTCAGAAACTGAATTCTCACTGCTTTTTAATAAAATTTTAATTAATAAAATTCACTTAAATTTCAAACCTATCATCATCCTTCTCATCATGTTTTGCTATTTTTAGTTGCAGCAGAATTCAAACTCATCTAAGCAAACTTCTTTCAATCATTGTGAGGTTTTTAAGACTAGACAATCCTATGAGTGGCGAAGCTGCTGGCTTATCATTTCTATCTCTAGATAGAGGCCCCAACCAAGACTAAAGAGCTTTTATCTATCCCTTAAGTGAGGATTTGTGACTGTGTGAGCGCAACCATTGACAACTTCCAAACAACCTCATTTATACAATATCACTCACAAGGCCCAGGGTCAATATGTGCTATGGTTTTCAGCCACTTCCCGACATTGCTGCATGCTGGTATCGTCTCCCCCAGCTGAGATTATCAAGATCACTTGCTTGACAAATTGACCATGATGAGATTAGAACCAGAATCTTAAGCTCGGAATGCTAATAATTTAACCACTTAGGTACGCAGCCAAAAATTTCAGGGTACTTATCACTTAATATTTTGTATAGAAGAGAAACACATGAATATAAATCAAATGTAATTTTCACTCTATTGTGATTTTAATCGATTTTTGTTTAAAGAGAGTGAAGAAATTGTAGAACACGGAGAATTAAACTTTTAAGATACAAGTACAAACTCACCTGTTTTCTTGGCATTGGTGAAGGAGGGGACTTAAAAGGCGACACGGACTTAGCGTCCTTGCCTGAAGAGGCTTGGTGAATATTGGGCGTACTGTGTGTGCCTCGTAGTTTGGCCAGGTCAGTTCTAGGAGGGATGGCCGGTGGACAGACAGGTGAGTCCCCATCAAATGCCACAGAATGCCTTGACCTCTGTGCTAGAAAACAGTTTTCATAATTGTTTTTATCTGGAGAAGAAACAGGCATGTTTTCATAAATACCTTCATTTAGCATAGTTGTTGCATCTGGACTTGGGCCCATACTCTCCTCACTGTTTCCAGACACAACAGAGGTGGGCACTGTACAAGTCTTTTGATTTAATGAATTGGACATCACAATTTTACTTTTTAATTCCTCGTCAAGAGACGATTGTCTAGCCGCAGCAATGGCTTGCCTTTTGCTTGCATCACGCACCAACCGCCCATTAGCATACGACACCATCACGTAATTATTACTGTCCTTCCTTTTGGGAGAACCGGTTGTCGATTTTTTACGGCATGGTAAATTTCCATAGATAGCATTCTCATCATCAAATTCGGCTTCTGAGTTCTCGTCTGGTCCGTTGCCACTAATTTCAACATGGGTTGTCTCCGGCTCGGCAGCAGCCGTGGAATTTTCAGTGGGTGCTGCTTGTGAGCCAAGAGGTACATGTCGGGGTGATTCGTGCTCAGCTGATGCTGAAGCTGCCGCAGCAGCAGCAGCTGCAGCTGCTGCTGAACCTGGAGGTGGAGGCAATGGGGGTGGAGGTAGAGGTGGTGGAGCAGCTGCGTCAGGTGGGTGCTTGCTCACCACAACCACATTCTCATAGTTCCCTTCAGGGGATTCAGAGTTCTCTGCAGACTTCTGGAAAACTTGATTCAGTTCTTCAAATTCATTGATGACCTGTCGTTCAACATGTTCAAAAGGGTCATCCTCACGCTCAAACTGAGAGACATCGAACTGTGACATGTTGGTATTGGTGTCCGTGCCAACTGTGCAGTTAGAAGTGACGGTAACCTGGTGCTGAGAGATTGGTGTTGGAGTGAGCATTTTGTCGGCCATATTGGGGATGTTTGCATAGACATCCTCTGATGCAACAGGCATCAACATTTGCTGGTTCTTCATCTCTGCCTCAGCCAGACACTGCTTATTCAATGCTGCCGCTGCTGCCGCCGCTGCCCTCTCACGCATGACTTGCTCTTTACTCTCTTTCATCCGCTGCTGTGCTTTTGCCCAATGGATCACACCTTCCTCTGTATTGAAAAAATACTGAAAAAAAAAAAGAAAAAAAAGTATAATAATTAGGTAAAATCCAAAGAATAAAGACAATTCTTCTGGTGTGTTAATGGCATTTTTAAAAGGTGCCAACCAACATCTTTCTCCCACTGATTTAATAATGGTAAATGAAGAAAGGAGGAAATTCAGGGCATTGTGAGAAATGTAAGTACATTGTCTCTACTAATTGTGAAACTCCTTAGCCTAGAAAAATGCCTTATGTTCAATAAAGTAGAAAAATGAAAGATTTTAAAGTGGAAAACTTTTTCAAGCAGTATCAGTAATTGAATGACTTTAATTTCTACAGAATATTTGAAGGATTAAATCATGACCATAAATTTTGAAGATTAAACACTTATCAGATTAGTAAGAGGGAAGAAATTTTGTAGCTTTCAAAGAAAAGTGGTATTAAACTGAATGTTCATTCTAGATGGCACAATATGTTTGATGTCTGCCTTAAAACAAGCATAAGTTATTGAGTTATATAAATGATATATATATATATATATATATATATATATATATATATATATATATATGAAAACAATGAGGTTAATATAAAAATTTATGAAGAATTTAAAAAACACACTTTTTAAAAAACTCTATAAAAGTCTGTGCTTTAATTAGAAAAAAAAAGTGAGCTTTTGAAAACATAAGAATGTTAATGCTTTTTTTAATGACCGAAGTAGTTGGACTCATATTTTTAGTCATAATTTTGGTACATTTTGCAAATAATTTCTTAGACAACAATTCTTACATTCATGAGAACAAACAATAAGAAATTCCTGTCAAATTTTAAGAATGTTGTGTTGTTAATTTATACACCTTATTTAAAATTTTAAGGGAATTTTCTTTTATTTTGCTATCAAAGCCAAGTTACTTAATTTCCACCATGTAAACAGAAATACCAGCAAACCAGAACATGTCACTTTTCACCTCTTTTCACCATTTCAGATTTTGAGACGCTCTTGTGGAACATCCTCTGTCCCTGAATATATGACTACTTAAAGACTTTTAATCATTGTATATACTAAACATAAAATTAAACCAATTTTATCCAACAAAGAACAACAAAACATCTCTATTTGTCATGTGTACTGCTAAAAATAACATTGAATTCTCTTATAATTAGACCAAGTCATAAGCCACACCTGTTTCTCTTATCAGATGCATTTTACTGGAATGTGTTCAAATACATTTCTAATAATTTATGTCTTACAGTAAAAAAAAAAAAAAAAAAAAACAATGCTAAATATGCTTAATGCCTTTTCTGATATTTTTTGTGCAATAAAATCTTACTAGTGTTAAGAAATGTTACATATGTTTAGTTTAAACAAATGATATTCTTAAATTGGTTTTTCAAAGTACTTGATGTCTAAGGTAGTGTTCAAAGAAAATAATTTTTCTTTGAATTGGTTCTTATCATTCCTGCTATAAACTTCCTTAACCCTCAATACATCTCACCATTTTTAGTTATTCATCTGGTGGGGATAAGTGTTAGAACTATATAAATACTTATTATAATAATTTGTTGTTAATAATAATAATAATAAGGATAATAATAACAATAATAATTATTAAAGTAAAGTAGGCATAAAATTATATATTAAAACACCCATTCTTCTATCTCAATTTAAATTGAGAAAAACCCATGCTTATGGACACAAAAAAAGAATATCTTTACAGTTATGCTTTCTTTTGTTTCATTATGTTGAACAGATAATTCAAAAAAGCAAGGAGCAAAGATGTATACACAAACATTTTATATATATATATATATATATATATATATATATATATATATATATTAACACACACACTTGTATTCAAGTAGATGCTGTTTTTTTAATTAAACAGTATTTTTACCCAACTACATCTACCAGCCTGAATATTCAAGAAATCTTATCAGAAAATTGTGCCCACCAGGAGGACTCAAACCTGCATCCCTACAGGAAGCCATCATTGGATCTGACATGCCTAAATGCTTGTCCACATAGGACTTATGGTCAAAAACAGCCTGGATAGTGCTTTTGAAAACAAACTCTCTGCAAATTCTTGATATTTTTCTGACAAGATTTCTCAAATTATTCAGACCAGCAGATGTAGTTGGAAAAAATACTGTTTAATTAAAAAACAGAGCTTCTACCTGAATATCCATAAAAAATAACGTTCAAATAAAAGTGTGACGGACTTTCACCATTTTCACTGTATGATAGAGAAACAGTTTGTGCCTAAGGTGGCTTTTTAGGCCAATTGCTGATTTGCAGATTACACCATATTTTAGCAAGTGTCTGGATTTTTCGAAGTGTACACTGAAAGGTTTGAACTAGTATTTGGTCTTAACATGATTTCTCAAAGATCTTGATCCCATTATGGCAAGCATAGTTCTCCATCCAGTGTGATTAGGTGCTAAAGTTTTAAAGGAATAAAAGAAGAAAATTGATAGACTTGAGGTTGTATTTGAGTTTATCTCTCAAGTGAATGAATGTTTTTGAATGTAAAATATTTGACCTATTTGAGTTCTTTCCCAATAGACTGCATGGATGCAGTGCTGGCTGCTGCTTAACACTTTTTATTTTGTTGCTGGTTTTGGATTATATATATATATATATATATATATATATATATATATATATATGTATATGTGTGTGTGTGTTAAATTTTCATAATAAAATTGATATTAACCAACCTATGTTTGTAAAATTTTTAATATATATTTATGATACCAAGTTAACTTCAGCTTAAAAGTCAGTTGGTAATGCAAACTTTCATTATGAAACTCAAGGTTTTCTCATAATACTGAAAATGAATACATACAATAGTATTGCTTTTTTTATTTCAGACATGTAGTGACTGACAAGGATCATAAAATATAAGCTCAAAAAAAACAAAAAAAATAACAAACAAAAACAACAACTACAACAACAACAAAAAAACGATGTTGTAAAGCTAAAAAGTGATGGAAAAACAACTTTGGAAATAGCCAAATCTATGAACAAAATATAAAGTATGATATAAATATTGGCAAGATAAGAACAAGGAAACTGATTTTAAGAATGTTGCAAAAGTGATTTGAGAAAAATTAAAAGAGTAATAAACAAGGAAAATTGAGCAGAAAAAATATTTGAAAAAAAAGCTAATATTGTGAATATAAACAGAGAAAAGATGCAGACTATTAAAAACACTGGCTAAAAACATGAATACAATCTAATTACAATCTTTAAGTAAGTATCACATAGAGAAATAATGTGTAAGTTGGAAAAAGAAGTAGATGGAAAATCAACAGTAAATTTTAGTGATAAATGTTAGTTTCATTGAATAGTCTTGATAGTTAGAATCGAGGTTGAGCCTTTGATGGAAAGTCACTCAACACAAATAAGAGAATAGTGGAGGAGGTGGAGTAACATTTTGAGCTAGTATCACAAATTCCTTTGAAATCGATGGTTAATAATCATTCAAGATCTGTGGTGAATGGGAAAATCATCTCCATCATAAAAGAATTTGTGTACTGTGCACAGTTTGAAGTTTTGAAAATAAATAAATCCTAGATAATTACTGCAGATACTGTAGATCTGTGATGTAGACTTTCAGTACCTTTGTTGTTTTGGACAATTGATAACAGACACAGTACATCAATGCAGAAAATTATAGTAATTTCTTAGACAAGACAGTTTCTGAGTCATAGGGATCACACTAAACAATATATTATTAACAAGGACAGCCATGAAAATATACTTATTTTTAATAAGGATAGATATGAAAAGTTGAAACTCATGTGATTCATTGCAAATATAAATATCCTTAAACATTAGTTGAATAATGCCAATGTTATTTTGAAAGTGTTGACTTATTATAATAATATTTGATATTAGATTATATGAGAGAGATAGAGAGTAAAAATTAGAGACACAATAAAAACTTGTAAAATTCAAACTAAATGTTTTGCACATCAAGCAATCATCAGTCATTATTTACAATATACATTCTTAGCATTTGCTAAATTATAGTGCAGCTGCTTATTTTGGACATTAAGCACTATTTATTTACTGCAACTCATAAGCTATTTTGATACTTAGCAGTAATGTACAGTTATTATATATATATATATATATATATATATATATATATATATAACATCATCCACAGACAGACTGTTTCGCTGTTTACAGCTCATCAGTGTGGCTAGACATCCGGTTGCCTCTAGCTAGGATTGAAACCCGACTGAATTGGTGTCAGTTGGAGCTTCTAACCACTAAGCCGTCGGCGCACGGTAGGGATGAAGATATATATGTGTGTGTGTGTGTGTGTGTGTGTGCACGCGCGTATGTTCTTATGATCTCATTATCAGTTCAATTATAATGAAACATATTCCAAAGCAAACATTATTATACAAAGGGTAGGGTGATGAAAAGTTCTTCACTTGACCTATGTTCCAAAATCTGACAAAATATCAGAATTTATATAAGATTACAGTTAAAGAAAGAAAATTCAACAAAGTATAAAATTTGGAAATTGCTTTTGAATTTATCCTTAAAAATACGACCCAGACAATGTAGAAAGACTTTGTTCATCTGTCAGTTAAAAAGAACTTTTAGTTTTAAAAAGAAATGATTCCTTAATATTCGCCATCGAATACTAAAATCCTAAGATAAACTTACCTCGTCGTCTAGAGCACTGCATTTTCTTCGAGCTAGCAGTTCTTTGGGAATTGAAACCTGTGACAATATAAAAGACAAAATTTCCATGAAAAGTTAAGCAGAACAAAAATAATTCTTTTAATAATTAAAAAAGTATCAGAAAGAAATAATTTTTAGTAATTAAAACGTATTACTGAACACAGGAGAAAGGAAAATAATACAAATTCTATCGAAAACTTGTGATATCGTTATTTGGAAATGAATTATAGATTCCTTGAAGAAGAATTAATTTTGATTATTAAAGAAAAAGTTACCTCCCTTTGTTATTTTTCGAACGAGTATAAAAACGGTTATCTTTTGAAAATTGATGCGGAAAAAGTATAGTACAATTATGAAGGAGAATCTTGCACCAGAACATAGATTCAAGTTGAATAGTGATCAAATATTTCTGAGACCCACTACATTTATATTTCCTATTAATCTATTACTAAGTAATTGTTTAATGACAGAGCAAAAATCAAGGTAAGAACATCCTTTTGAAATTGATTCACACAGATCATCCAACATCAAGAGTGAAGCGATTTATAGACTCTCAACTTGATAATAATAGCCTAAGAATGTAATGAAAATGGGAGCTTTCTAGCCAGACAGTTATATCAAACAAAAGTATAGATAGCCATCCAAGATTTTTTTATGACTTCTTGAATACTATTGATCATAAGAATTTTAAGCAGCAACTCTGACACACACTATATATATATATATATATATATATATATATATATATATATATATAAAAATAAATAAATGCCATATTGAATGATACCAAATGGGTGGCTGTGAATGGGAGGAAATTTAGTACCCTTCTTGATATATGTTGTACAAACAGTTATATCAATGAAAGACTTGTGCGAAACCTAAAGTAAAGTTCACTCAGCTAAGAAAGACATTATTATGATACAGAAAATTCTGAATAATTCCAAAAGCTATGTAGTAATGAATAACTCTTGGTCTCAACAATCAGGCATATGTTGCCACATGTCTTGGCGTTTTGCAAGAGCTGTGTTCAGATATGTGGCTAGGATTTCATGTGCAAATATCAAAGAGCAGCACTCTAATATGACATCCCCTTCCCATGCCAAAATTAATTGTGGGTGGTGGTTGTCAGCAATACTTATTGGCCCAGGTAGAACTAGAAGAGTCATTACTTTCCTCAAATATATCACTGACCTGTAAACTAATTGCTCTCAAATCAATAAATTTTAGCAGCAGAGAAGATCAAGCTTTCATCACAAATGAAATCCCGCATTTACTATTTGAAGTCATAATTGAAGCCAAGTGCATCACTGTTATATACAAATAAAGTGTTGCTGCTGACACTTTGGTTTGAACATGGATTGCCAAAGTGTAAGCACAGTTAATTTCACCTTGAAATAATTAGATCACATGACAGGTAAAGGAAAAATGTATATATGGGAATTAGTGGCATCTTACTATTATTGTATCTGTGATTTGCAAAGTCTCTCTTACAACATTAAAAAATCAACTTGGCAAGCTCAGGTAGTGGCTGTGAAGAACTCTAGCCACCAACATAAGAAACAAATGTGCATTGATTGTTCACAGACGATTTACAGATATACGGAAATTGACACGTACCCTATACCTTATACAATGGCCTTGCTAAGTATATTGTCTTTTCCATTAATAGAAACAAAGAAATTCTTAATAGAAAAGAAAGCACTGGCAGCTTTCAACCAGCTGAAGAAAGAATTAGAGAAAGCTACACTCCACTTTGTAGACAAAAATTTAACCTTGGAGGTAGGCTGCATCTGACGGTGGTTATTTCAGCCATCCTAAACTAAGGAGGACATTCAATAAAGTTTATGTCAAGGGATTGTTAAAAGGGCAGTGAATTAAAAATACTGTAGGATAATGTAAAAACAAAAAACAATGGCTATTATTGAAGCACAGTGCATAAAGGGAACCACTATTTGGCACTGACACTTCCATTTTGATCATAGGCCAGAGATCAGGGGCCTTTATGTTTGATAATATATGATGTACAAAAATCCTAAAATACAATTTGGGAATGGAGAATGGAGCTAACAGCATCTAGTTATATAATTATATACTCTGATCTGGCAAAGAAAATGTTGTTCCCTCATATATTTTCTTGAACATACATCTATTTGACAGTTACTATCCGAACACTAGCAGTTATTCACAAAAAACTTTGCCACCCTGGAAATAATCTGCTCCTACATTATATCAGAGCAAGAAATCTCCCCTTTTCTACAGTAGATGTAGAGGGCTTACATGTCCTGCCAGGTCTGCACCAAAATTAAACCCCGCTTTTATAACCCACTAAGAAGGAAGTCTTATCAAAGAAAGAAAACTGATGGAGCAGCTTAGTATTGATCTCAAGGGATCACTGCCTTTTATCACACATAATCTATACTTACTCATGATAGTGGACAAATACTCACATTTCCTGTTTGACTTTCTGCATTCTAACATGCACATAATACTGATAATATGTCCAGGGTTATTATTTAGCCTAAGTCACATACATTCTGACCAAAACAAGTTTTTCTTGTCTAACAAATTCAAAGATTATCTTTTCCAAAAAGGGGTTTTTCATTAGTAAGACCAAACCATATCAGCCAACAGGAAATGTACAGGTAGAAAAGTTTAATGGCACCATATGGAAAGTAATTCTTTTGGCCTTTAGGTCATGCAACCTCTCTGAAAAGCATCAGGAACATTTTATTTTTTATATTCCAATGCTGTTCATCACATGGAAACAAACTGCCCTCTTGACTAATGACACCTGAACACATATTACTAAGGAGGTTTGTGAGAAAAAAAAACAAAAATCATCAATTCATGGATCAAGTTGAACTCCTTGATAGTAAAACCCAATTTATACTAACATTAGATATCCAGACAGTTTCAATTTGCAATTTGGCACCGTGTCACAAAATTTCAACGTTTCTTAATGCAATACATGATCCAGTAATACTCACGATGGAAGACAACAACATGCTATGATGAACTAGATGACAAAATGATTCCACAACAGGAGATATGTAGATCCAAACAGATGTCAAAACATTGATATGGATACAGCAGTTCATACCAAGGTTATATTTTTCTGTATACCATTATATCACGTATGATCTTCTAACACACGAACAACAGTAACCATGTCATTTTTTTTACTAATACTAAGAAAAGGCTAGTGAATCCACCACTGTATTGTTGCTAACTTTTAGTAGAATAAAGCTTGGATTGCAGTCCTGAGTCACTTCAGTTACAATTCAGGGGAAGAGATTGATATTTGTGTGTAAGTCAATCTAATGAACCTGACTGGAATTTGAACTTGGCTCTCTGATTTCACAATCCGAGCCACTGTCACACCACCTGCTCATTGTGTATATTATTCTTAAAGTTTGAAAATTAATTCTTCTTAGAAAAAATAAAATAATTTTAGTCAAAATGTTTGTGAAATTTATACACTTTTGAATGTGTCACTATTATCCAAAATATAAAAATAAAAGAAAAGAAATATTGAAATTCAGGATCTTCTTTCTACTCAATCGAGAGCATTAAAGATTCTTTAAAATGGTTTATTTTACTTCTGTTATTCAAGTAAATCAATCCTCAAATGTCATTCACTGTATGATAAATAAATGAAAATCACCAAAGACGAGTGGTGAAAAGTAAAATTTTGCAATTTTTCTTCTAAAATTTATTTTAGAAAACTTCAGCTTTTAATCAGTATGTTATGTAGTAAAAATCAGGAAGAAAGAGATTGTCATTGGTCTAGTATTACAAACAAAATAAGGCTGTTATATAATTAAAAAGAAAATCATTATTTTAGATCTTAGGAAAAATTATTTCATCAAATTGATGTTAATGAAAGATGTAATGATTGGTAAGAAAGTTTCTTATACAAATATTTCATACTTTAATTCTTATCCTATTTATGAGGAGAGGCATGAAAAGCTTCATAACAATATCAGTAGTTGGCAGTTAGTTCTATGGAAAATCAAAAATCACTTTTTTTAAAAATTTCCTTACCTTATTAGGTACTTTAAATTTGCCACCAATCTTAAATGGAATGCCATCGAGAGCAGAGTTAGCAGAAGCTAATCCTATAAAAGAAAAGTTACAAAAGGCAAATAAGCACAAAACTTGCATAAAAAAAATCTAGTCATGCACAAGACATAGACAATTAGGTAGGATATCAATAATGAAAACTATCACTACACCAATGTGTATGAAAGAAAAATCTTTAAAAAGATTTTGATGAATTTCAACTGGAAGAATATTGGAAGACATGCAAAATTTACAAACATTATTTAAGCAGAATTTCAATCAAAATTTGAAATTGATGCACAACATCATTGAAACTTGTTTAAAAAATAAATCCATTTCAGAAACCTTCTGCACAAATGTAAGTTTCTTATCACAAATGATCCACTTCTCGTTAAGCATTTTTAGAATGATACAACCAATAAGTATCATGTATATCTTAAAGCCTTTCCCCAATCTTAGTATAAAATGGTGTTATTTTATATATATATATTTTTTTTTTTACATAAAATCAAATATAAAAAAAAAATGTGCAAGTATGAAAATATTTCTCAAGGGCATTCTAAAAGCAGATGGAAATATTTATTGATAATCGGTCATCCATGTAACTGTTATTAAATTTGTTGCCATGGTGTTAGTACTAACACTACATTACTAGTATACTGCTCAAGAATATAATGTATGTTGTATGCATTTTGCACTTTATAGAGCCCTGCATCTATTTCAAAATGAATAAAGGTAAAATAATCCCCACTTACATTTGTTTGCTTAACATTATAACAAATTTATTCCACTTTACAATTCCACTGCTTTATCTGGATGTTTATCATAATGGACAGATTGTTGAAACTCATTTTGATGCTGATTTGAATGCCAGAAACACTGCTCAACAATGAGAGGTCACTGATACAAAAGTGAAGTCCAGAATCCAGATAAACTGAATATCTATGTACTATGTTTCTCCTGCTGTGAAAAAAAAGTTTTAATAATGTGTGAAAATTCTTCAAAGAACCTTCAAAGGGACTGCAATTTTTTTTTTTAATTCATTTGGCTGAAGAGTGTACAAATAATCATATTAGAGATATGACAATTTGCTGGGGACTAGATTCTACTGCCAATAGCAAAATATGAAACCTGATCCTAACCAGTTACATCCATCTTTTGGATCTACCAGTTCCAGAAGATATGGTTATGGTTCTGAACAGAATTTCCAACATCTACTCATATTATTGAAGGTGGATACACTAATTTTCTCAAAAAGTCCATCTGCTAGTTGAGTCCTAAGAATTTTCTCTTGCAGTTTCCACTATTAAAGGTTTTAAATAGGACACTGCAAATGTTTCAGTCTTGTCAATTGAGGACAAATGCCTATTTATTAAGACTAATACTTCAGATCATGTTATTACCAGTTGCATTTTCCAAGCAACTGATAAGGAGACAGAGATAATCATTGAAGCAAGCATTAGTTCTTAGATAAACATTTTCAAGTGATCACTAATTGGTTTCATTTTGTTGATGGTAAACAAGTGAGAAAAAATAAAGAATGACAAGAAAATCAAGATAGCAAAGCAAGCTATCAGGTTATTCTCATGCTTTTTTTTTTATTGCATTTGGCCAGGCAGATAAACCCAGATTGCTAACACATTCTCTAAAATTGACTGATCCCTTTACAAACCCTAATTGCCAGAACATTAACACTTTTTTCATTTCACCCAGTGTAGTCCATTTATTATTGCAGAGTAGAAACTTGTTTTACTCACTTGAAGAGATTAAAAGGATAACAGCAACTTGTGAAAGTCACATGACCAAGGATATGCAACAACCATCTGAACAAATTGAATGTTGACTTCAAGGATCCTTCAGCCAGTGTCTAACAGAAATAGATATATGTTGACTAATAGATAAATACAGTCAATTGGCTTTTGTATTTCCATGTAATAACTTGATATCAGACAGACACTCTTATGGAATGCTGGCTAATTGTTCTGTCTGCTTTGGAATTTCTGCATGCATTCATTCAGATTGAGGCCAGTCATTTATGTCCAAGGAGGTGACCATCTTTTTACATTAAAACTTAACTCCTAATCCTCATGGCCAAGTAGTGAGGTTAGTTATGTCTAATTTGGTAGGCTATACTATTTGTCTATCATATATATAGTTTAAAGGCTATTATGTGGGAGACTGGTCCCGTAGAATTTTCTTTGCATCAGAACCATGCTATAAAGCACCACAAAGACAGTAAACAAAGAGATGTCCCATGATTAGCAATGAACTCCAAACAACTGCTTAATTCCTATCTCAGCCATAAATGATTCTGAGGAGATGACAGGTGCCTAAATAATGTATGTTAATGAGATTGAGGTGCTAAAATCCAATCTGGCATAGGCTCCACGAGTGTTTTTCAGATAAAAGAGAAGCAATAGTATAATAGAAACACAGCCCACCCAGAGTGCACTATTAACTGGTCTTACATGTGAACAAATTGAAACAATGAAACTCCCTAAACATGAAGCTGCATTTCAATTTAGTAACACAGGTGACATTGTAATTCATTATAGGATAAAGATAATAATGCCACTAGGATACAAGGGCTTACTCAGAGTGGAAGAGAATGAGATGACACTAGTGAAGAGAAAGGACAATAAAAGAACAGGTTTCAGGAAGACAGAAGATGGTGATTGAAATTGCATTTACATTTTTGAAGATTGTAGGTGGTAGGGAAGCAAGAAATAGGAAGTGAGTTCCACAGTCAATAAGTGTGAGAAACAAAACTATTAGAATAGAACACATGTTTGCATCAAGTTACTCCAACAGTAAAACGGTGAGACACAGTTACCAATCTAGTAGCATACTTAAATTCATGCAGTTGAGGGTGCAAAGAGGAAAGCTCATCAGATTCAATGAAAACTCATTTTGTCTGCTTAGCATGAGAAAAAAAGAAAAAAAAAAAGAGATATATTAAAAAAATAAGATCTAAGATTTTTCATTCTTTAATTCTTGTTTCTACACAGACATTTATTGATGAAATAGTAAAAGACACATGAACAATCCTTGGTCACAAACTGATGTATTATAGAAAATATTTAAGTTCTGTTGTATGAAACAAACATTGTAAGTGAAAAATAAAAAGGATAACAATTTTCATTCCTATCATTAACAAGTACCTATTGATACAGTTTTCTTTGTTTTTAGCACCTTTCATGAAATAAATAAAACCTGGATGCCAAATGCCACTACTGAACCCCTGGAATAATTCTCTAGATTGTAGAAATGAAACTGCAGCTACATGTGTGTATTTCTTTTTTTTTATGAGAGGCAATGTGAGCAAGCAGTGTATTTTAATTCATTTTATACTTTCTTATCTATCTTAAAATTATATAAAATAAGTTGAGTAGTAAAACATTATAATGTTAATAATTTATATTATGTCACTATCAGATTTTTTTTTTCTTTTTACAGCTTATAAACTGTTTGTGGGTTATTTAAAGCCAAAACATTTTTGGATTGTAGGGATAATTTTTTTTTTTGCGAGTGAATATTGAGTTAACAATAGTTTGGAGGTAACAGTGATTTCCCCAGATATCAGTTATACTATTTGACCCATATCTGAATGGGAGAAGAGATCTTTCTGAAGGGCATTTGTGCATATGTGTATCTAACAAACTCAATTGGAATGTGAACTTGGCTCTCCAATTTCTCAGTCTGAGCCACTATCCATTACACTATCTGATCAAACTATAAAGCATAACAGTAATACACAAAAAAATACATGGTAAACATGTTTTATGGAGACTATAACTGAATAGAGTTATAACAATTTGATTTATACAAGACATTTGAGAAAGTTGCAATGGATGTCTTTAAAATGGTTAAATTAATCTCAATATGAAAGCAGGATGTTCCTTGATAGTTACTACGCCTAGCTCAATAAATATCAAGGGAAAATTGGAAGCAGAATGTATAGCACCAATCATCCAAGTGGGAAGCACCTATCTACCTTGTAAATCTATATTTGAAATTAAAGCTTTTTAGCCAAGCCCAAACACTGATTATTGACAGTGACATGAAAATACCCAATTATCTTAGCAACAAAGCAGTATTTTTTCCCCAACACACACATTACATATATATATATGATAATAATAAATCATTTGTTATATAGATCTGTGTATGAATTATATTATTTCAAAAAATAAAAATACATTTTATTGTATTTCATGCCCTTCTTTTCTTCAGAAAATAATTCCAAGATCTTAAAGTTGAGATAGGCTAACATTTACCCAGATACCTTAGACTATCAGTTTTTGTACCAAGCCTAACTAATAATAATAATAATAATAATAATTAAGTCATATTAAAACCAATATTAAATGTAAATAGAAAGTCATACATGCATATTTATATTTAATGATGTGGTAGGCTAATGTTTACTTAGAAGATACAGACTGCAAGTATTTGTACCTGGCTTAACTCCATAATACTGATGGGGTTTTTATAATTCATCAAATGCAATAATAAGAGTCAGTGATAAATTGTCACAATAAAATTAGAAAATATGAATCTTTTTGATAAGGTAAAAATAAGTGGACAGTGTGACCCCAATAACAAATTTGTAGCACTGGTTATGATATAAACTCAATTCTAGGCCGCTAGATAAAAGTGTGTGTGTGTATGCGCTCATGTATAAGTAGTTGTTTGAAAGGTAGAGGAGAGGTAGATGCGGTTTTATTCAACCTGACTAATGCTGCAACAATTACTGATCTTATGGAAAATGAAGGGTTAAAAATAGGTAAACTGTTTGTACAGTGTTATCTTATAGTAGAGCAAAGTGGGCAGTAATTAAGCAAAGTCATAGTGTACCCTTTTGCATTAAGCAATCATCTCTTTTCCTTCGTCAACTGACAACTGAACCATTTTAACAAATAACAATTATTACTGCTCCATTACAAATTGGAAATTTAGCTAAGTTTATGAGCCAAATACTTATATAATATAGTAATTCCTAATCTAAAAACAAAGCCTTAAAAATAACAAGAATAATCCTGTCTTTTATGTTAAAAGGTTTTACTTTTGACAAAAGTTCATACATAAGTGTAACACTTTGCAAGTGACAGATGTTGATTAGGACTTTGCAAGAACCAAATAGGTTTGAGAATTTTCTGTTGCATTTGTTTCAGTGTAATTATTCAAATGCAAATCATATACAAATCTGTTATGTGAAAATGATGGTTACAAAGTATGACAATACTGTTCTAACAATAAGGACATACATTTAGTTTTTCTTTTTAAACTAATTCTATCATGAAAATCTGTTTATAAATTTGAAATCCAGTCTTACAAATATTGTACTGATTGCTTTATTCTAAATTAACACACACATAAAAAGACTAACATCTAGTTACTAACATTTTTTTTGTGTGTGTGTGTGTTTTAAGACTAGACTGTACACTAGTTCATAAAAAGAGTAACAGCAGCAAAAATCTGTTCTATATTTAATTCTTGAGTGGGTTGTACAAATCCTTGTGCATATAGATATACATGATGGACTGCTGAAAAGTTCTTAAATCAACATACTTCCCAAAAACAGACCAAATTAATTTTTTTTTGAAGTGGGGAGGTTTCTTTGATGGGTGTAGAAAATTTTAGCATCCCCTTATATGTGTATGTATGTGTAAACTGAAAAATGTATAATCCACAAGAAAAAGCTACTAAAAAAAAATGTCAACAAATTAATTTTTTTTACAAGTATTTATGTTTGTCTTTATTTTTTTAGCTAGCCTTTCGTCACGACTTCACACAAGCTATTAGTCTATGTCAGGGAGTAGATTGCATGGGATCAGATATAAAGGATAAGGCTGGTGAGATTGTGGAACGTAATGATGGATTTATAGCTAGATTTGATCTTCTGCAAAGGTGTCAAGTTCTTGTAGCATAGTGGTTAAAGCAACTGGTGTATTAATGGTGTGTCTTGCTGAGGCAAAAGAGACCATAGAATCTCGGCAAAGGTTTACACTTTATTGTTGATCCTGCACTGTTGCATATTGACAGATCTACGCATCTATATAAAGACAAAGAAAGTGCATACAGGCAAATGGCAAACAAAAGGCTCTATAGATGTGCTAAACAAGTAGACATCCATTTGTGGGAATGTAAAATTGTAAAGCAAAGGAATTTGAAAAATTCTGCAAATCAGTCAAATAGAATCAGAAAACTATCACTCACTAGCATCTTTTAGATATAGGTCAATTTTGTGACATCTCTTTTTAGTCCCAAATCCAATAATCGAGATATAACGTATTGATTAAGAGGTAGAGGAGGGGAAGGGGGGGAGAGGTATTGTATATTGTGCTGCATTTCACAAGAATAGTGAATTTTCCATTTCTATATTCTATGTCAATACACAAACAAATAAGTACAACAAATTGTGTAGTGTACTAAGCAGACAATTCAAACGACAGATGTCTAAAAAAAAAAAAAAAAAAAAAAAAAAGAAAAGTGTTATTTTGCTTTTGTTTGTGTATTTGCCTTGAGCAAAAGGGACTCTGATAAAGTGAGGAAGTTGGTAAAGAGAACAGGAAGACAGATATGAAGGAAGAGTTTCCCTACTGACAATATATGCACATGTAAAGATTAGCCAAAATCCCAACGAGCAATTATATGTCATGTCATTTCAGTCATGAACTGAAACAGATAGCTACAAACTGTCTCAGTTGTGTTTGTAAATAGAAATGTAGACATAACAATCACACATTAGAGGTGAGTAACAAAAAAGGAAACCAATTTAAAGATAGTATAAACCTTTCCATCAGCCGACAAACATACAAGCATTGCACATAATGATTTACATGAATTTAAATCACTACTGTCATCTGTTAAAGAAGAAATAATTAAAAAATTGAAAATAGTAAAGAATAAAACATGGCTAAAGAAATAAGTTCATATAATATAGAACAGACTTTTACTGATTTGCTTTGATATCTATTAAATTTATTATAAAAAACAATACTTAAACCATTATAAGAAATACACAGACCATCAATTAATATTTACCAATCCCTTAATAAATTAAAACCTTTTAAACATTCACAAACAAATGTTGTGGTTAAAATCCAGCTTGTATTGTTTCCAATAAGAAACAAGATACTATATTTTGCATTTAAGAGAGTAATGCAAAAAAAAAAAAAAAAAAAAAAAAAAAAATGATATTGCAATATTCAGTTTTAGAAATCTCCTCCGAATAAAGCTTACTAGCAGCAATAATTTATTTTAAGGACTTCTACATTGGTTTTTAGTTCTGAGGAGGAAAGAGAAAAATAGGACAACGGGTTTCCTAAAGGACTGCCTAAATGATTAAAAGTTTTTAAGATAAACTGCAAACAAATTGGGAATAATAGAGATTTTCTGTTTTACTTTGAAAATAATTTATTTCACTCCTTCCTTTATTTAAAATGAAGTCAAAATCTATTTTACATTCTTTGCACTTCCTTTACTTATTAAAATGTTGCAAACATTTTTTCTCTTATGATTTGAAATGTTAGCCAATAGCTGGTATAAATTCCCATGTTGTGATAAATATTTAGACAAAAACTAAGCAATAGAAAACATCAAAAATGTCCAGCATTCAAATATTTTCAAAGTTATTTTCAATTTATTCATTTTATTTAGGTTTTCTTACTTTTTACAGATTAATTAGTTTTTAAATTAGTTGCAAGATCAAGAGTAGGCCTTAAATTAAAGCACTTTTAAAAGCTACACTTTAAATATGAATAAATATTTCAAACTATAAATCCCAATGTTAGTGATTCCACACACACTTGCATAATGTTAATTGAAACTCTTAAGTTGTATGAACAGTTATGCAAAGATTTTACTAATTAACCTTTAGCCTATAATCACCACCACTTATTATTATTATATTAAAAGGGGGTGCTGAACATTTCTGTACCTGATCAAGAAAGGATTTTAAAAAAATATCAAATGTTTAGTTATTTGGTCAGGCTAAGAACTTTTCATGGTGATGGTAGTGGTAGTAGTATTATTAAAATTGAATAAGAGAGTTTTGAGCATGTATACATTTTATTGGGAAAGTCAGTAATTGAGAACCAGTAAATTTTATAATAACAGGAATGATACAAAGGAAATCATAAACGGAAACAATATTAAAAAAATAAGGAAAAAAAAAAAAAGAAACATTAAAGAAAAGCAAAGAAAAAAAATCTTGAAGCTAATAAAAGAAACAGTGTTTAAAGAAATGTCCTTCATAAATTAAGAGTAAAGAAAAATATTCTCCATTTATTGCTTTTCTGTTATTCTTTTTATCAAAAAAAAGGATCCAGACAAAAATGAAGCAAATCAAAAAGCACACTTCTTTGTATCCTTCTCATCCTGATTATCTGTCTGTTTCTAGTACACAACAATTTTCCTTTCATCTTTCTTCTTTCTTCTTCGAATCTCCTAAAATGAGAACAACGCAACTGAATTCCTAGATTCTATGCTGCAAAAACAGAAATCTTTTCTAATGTTTATCTTAACAGAACTCTATTAGATTAAAATTACATTAATTCTTTTTTTCATTATTATTAACAACAATAATGTTGCCATCAGAAGAACCAAGCATAAAAAAAAAAAAAAAAAAAATCAAGATAGACAAGACTGGAAAATAGAAAATACTATTTGTCTGGGGGGGGGACTATCAATTATATATAAGTGAATACAGCATGATTCAGAAACCAATAGTAGACATGTGCGGGTAGGAAGGATGATCAATTGAGAACTGTGCAAATGATCTGATGAAACAATCCAACAGTATATACACAAATAGAATTTGTTTCAGAGAAAAAAGCCATAAAATTCTCTGGAATTGTCAAATTCAAATGGTTCACACAATCATCTGTGCAAGAAGATCAGATCTAGTTATCATAAATGATAAAAAGAAAACTTGACATTGGATTTTGTTATTCCAGAAGATCATGTAAGAAAGTGAAAAGCTGTAGAAATATCTTAACCTCTCAAGTAAAAAAAAAAAAAAAAAGATTAATTATGAAGGTGCCAGTTCTGCTGACTGTTGTTTAAATTTAGAATGATGCTAAAAGGTTTGCAAAACTAAAAAATCTAAGAAAGACTCATGATTATAAAGAGAATAGACACCTGAAAACAGCTAAAATTTAGAACTCGAGTGTTGAGGAAACTTGTTGTCACTTGAATGAGAAAGCACTTGTTAATATTGGTATAAACATCCAACAAGTGAAATAATAAAGGCTTCCTAATTTTTAAGTCTTCATAGCAACAATGTTACAGTCTCAGCAATTCAAGCAAGATCCCTCATGGTCACCTGGTATTACAGTATTAGGATTGCACCTTTCTAAGATGACCCAGCTAAATCTGTCATCAAGTGATGTCAGATAATGAGTTTACTTTTCAACCAATGAATTAACATATAGTTTAAGTAAAATATTGTTTTTTTTCAAGCCAGCTACCATCTTATATTCAAACAATTAATTTGGGAACTCATAAGCAACTTTATTGCCAGGTTTCCAATATAGAACAATGGTTAAATTCTTTGCCTATCAGAAGTTGCAGTACAAATGCTTGGTTGAAGCTTGGCCCATTCAGGAAGCAGTTAACTCAATTGATGTCTTGATATGGTAAAGACAAACACCTGCAAAATAATTTGTGTTTATGTTGAAATTTTTATACCATTCCAATAATCTTAACAAAAAAAATAAAATAAAATAAATAAATAAAAAAAAAATAAATCACTCACCATATATGCCACGAGATGACCGGTCGGAATCCATACTTCCCTAGACATCAGAAAACAATCATGCTGTGTAAAGAAAAGAAATGAACCATTAATTTTTTTTGTTCAACATGAAACATCTGATCAATTATTTAAACATTTTTGTTATTCTAAAAATCATTTGTCATTCCTATTGACTTTACAAAGAATCTTAAATTTTTCATAAGATTTTCGAGATTTGTAAATCATACAAATATTCATTTTTTTTCTTTCCTTTTGATAAACACCCTGTAATTACCAATCCTTATATCAGCTGCAAGCTAAATTCATGGCAAATATAAACTTTTGAAATGTACCTTTCAAAAAAGTGGACGAGGCAGGAAAAGAGCAACAAATGACGAAAGCAGAACTAATGAGGCAACTGACTAATTTTCAATCTGATACACAATGAGCAAGAAATAAATAATTCAAAGAAACAAATCAAAGTTCATTATTTATGCTTAATGTGAAGTAAACCTTGACTTTCTGCTTAACACCCTTCAGATATAATAAATACTATATGCTTTAAGATAGAAAAATGATTGAGAGGAGTAATAGCCATAGTAGGTAAAAATGGATCCACTCAGCTAAATAAGGCTAATGATATAGACATTTTTTTTTTTTTACTCTTGTATCCTTATTAAAAGGGCAAAATGTTCTGTGAGTGTTGTAGTGTACAAAGTGAAATTAAATAAAGTTGTACAATGCAGAGTAGCATTAGAAATTGTAATGTGTTCAAGAAAAGTTGAAAATATCGTAACAGTATAATAGAAATGGTTAAGTTGCAGACCATCAAGTATCAGTGCGCAAAGTTTTTATATATATATATATATATATATATATAACCATTAGACAAAGGAAGATTTTCATATGCACAACTTTATTACGTGCAATAATAAAAGACTCAAAAATCATTGTTTCTATACAATTTTTGAATGCGGTTGGTACTAACAAAAATGTACTGTTTATACCAAAAGTCAGTTCAAAATTGGACTAATTATATATATATATATATATATATATATAAATTAAAGCTCTGTGTGATATATCAATACCTTTGTCACCATAATCAGAAAAAAATGTGTGTGTATGTGAGAGAGGGAGATTTGAAATCAAATCTTTTAACAAAAATAATATTTGCAGATCCCATTCTGCCAAAAGAAGTAGAAATATTAGCAAGGAAATTTAAATGCATTAATTATCATGGCAAAAATCATAATTCATTTGTGCTTTTCTTTTAAAGCTAATTAATAAAAGACATTGTTCCAAAAGTTAAAATAGGCATTTCCCACTACCACTGAATCAAACAATTCTCAGTGTTTACAGAAATCAATATAGTGAAAATTATGTTTATTTTTCAGTTATTTGTTTTTCCTGCTTAGCAATTTATGAATGTTTTTTCAAAACACACAAAATTGGCATGAAAAGATACATGAATTCATTTTTTTTTCAGGAAATAGAATAGGGATATTACCAGAGTAAACTGGAAAAATAAATAAAAACAACCAGTTTTAGACATCAAAACAATCATTTAAAATTAAAAACACAAAACAAAAACAAAACTCAAACTTAATATACATTTTGCAATTTCATGAGAAACTTGTAAAGACATTCTATCTGAAGACATGAAACAAGAAGGAATTATTGTCCAATAAGCAAGAAGGTTTAGATATTGTCTCCTCCTCCCGGTACATGATGTTATGAAGTTGTGTCAAGAGGGGTTTCTCTTTTCTCTTCTGCTATTTTAGCCAGTAAGTGCTTGAAGCAATTTAAAATAATATACAGATAATATAGTAGCCAATATAAATTGTATGAATGCATAAAAGTATGCAGGTAAAAAATCTGAGGTAAAATTGGAAGCATCCATCAATATGTCATATGCGGACACTGGAGTAGGGATTCATTGCAGTCTTATACTAAATTTGTTATGCTGTGAGATCAATAATTTTCTCAAAACATTCTTTGTATTTGAGAATTACAAAATAACAAATGAATCACACACAAAGGATTTGATCTCTTTTCAGCTAATGTTTTAAAACCTTTAAATATACAAATTCTCTTAATCATATCACATTGAAACACCAGTTCTTGTAAGATCATGAAGTTAAGCAACATTGAGCCTGGTCAGTATCTAGTTGGGTGACTCACTTGTGTGCAAATACCCTTGAGAAAGGTATGAATTCACCTACAAGTTAATTATTATGACTTGTATCAGTAAAACTGTTATCATCTAAAACAAAATTCTAACAGTCTAAAAATATTTTCTGGCTTTAAATAACGAGCAAGTCATAAAAAGCAAGTCAATCAATTATTATCTTATATTAACTGGCAGGTGTGCAAGATCAAAATTATTTAAACAATTGGATGCTGTTGATAAGAATGGAAAATACTGAGAAAACAATTCTCTTGAGCAAGTTGGCTTCCTTAAGAAAACTTCAGATACAGATACAAAAAAGGAAATATTTACAGTGATATAAACACAAGATAAAAGTTTATTCATAGTTAAGGAATTATGAACAATAAACCTGAAGAAATATCTAAAAAAAAGAGAAATTACCTAAAATGTAGATTACATATAAAATTACAGGTCTATGCATAAATAAATCCACAATGTGACTAATAGTAAATGTATTAGCAAGGAATGAGATTATGTTGAAAAATATTTGTTGTGTAAAATAAATGCTTTTTTTCATCATTGGACTACAGACTTTTTGGTGTGTATATATGTATAATATAAGAATAGGCTTATTCAGAGGATATAATAGAATTAAATTATTATGCTTGCATTTAGCCAAATTTTAATTTTAGTGAAAATCAAAATAATTTCTGTAGCTGTTCTATTCTCACCATCACTTGCACCTTTATTTGCTTACCTTCAGATTGCATCAATTTAGTGTAGGAAGAATTTCTAAAATAGCATCTGCCAGTTTATACAATATAAAAACTGAAAAGCTAAGGCACATAGATTTGCAAAGTTTGTCCAGAAAGTAACAATAATTTTTAATATCTCAAGAACAACTTGTGCAGCATCAATGTAAATTCACAAATAATAAGAGATGACCTTACTAAACAGGTGTAAACACACTCTCTGAGGGAGATAACCCAATCAGCAATGACAGACCATTGAGTGAGCATGTGTATTGTATGACTGTCGCAGTCATCATGACAATACACCCATCTAGTCTTCAGGTAGGATTGTTTTTAAACAAATTATTGCCGCACACAGGTATGTAAGACTTCAACTCTAGACTTGGTTACTTGCAACTTCTGGTTTTTCTCCAAAGCTAAAAATTGCTGTTGAAAAAGAGATTTTCAGATTATGGCCTAAGTAGAACAGAACAGATGTTGGCAATTCCACACTCTCAAAACAGGACACTAAAGACAAAGTTTTGAAAAGCGGAATGGATGCTGAACTATCTTGAATCAGACTAAATTTTCCATTAATATTAAATGACTGCATGTTTTCCTGATGGAATTTGTACATATAAAATTTAAAACGTAAAATATTTTTTATATTTTAAATTTGATGTAATTTTGGAAAGTGAGAAAATTTTGTTCAAACAACACAGGCAGAGAATTAAGAGACCAAAATCTTTCTCCTTCACACAGATCAAATGTAAGCCAATCCAATAATTAAAAGCATAACAAGAATCTATATGGAAAGCTAGCCAATAAGAACCAATTCACTTGAATAAGAATTTGGTTTGTTCACAAGCATAACAACTGCTTTAAGTGTGTCATAGGTCCTTTTGAGTGTATACCAATCACTCAGAATCAAGTAATTAAGAGAGACTGTGCTCAAGGTTTCAAGTATCAGACATCTAGAAAGGCTTTTTAAAAAAATAACCATGTTAAAGGGGCATATACAGAATATAGACAGCTGAAGAAAAATCCATTATTTGGATTTATGATGTGACCAGTCAGCTGCAAGAAGGAGACACTTGCTTGTAGCACATTTAAAACTTTTGAGGAATGAATAAATTGCTATCCTGCCTATCTTAGAACATCAGCATAAAGTTGGTGCCAATTTTACACAACTACAATGAATGATCACATACAAGATGAATATATAATAGAACTGTCACATTTACAATTAAGTAAAGCATCAGATTTGAAAGAAGTGGGATTTTGTTTCTAGTTAAATAATAAAATCTTTATCAAGTTGAATGGAAACAGAGTGAGTGAGTAAAGAATGTAGCTTGGAGGTTGTTTTTTCTGCAATTCTGTGTAAAGAGAACAGAGAGGAATGCTGACATTTTGAGAAGTCAGAGGAAGTGACTTATTAAACAAGAACAAATGACCTGGATTTCTAGCAGAGAAAATTTACTTATCTTTCAATCTTTTTTGTTATGAATTATGTGATTGGAAATGGAAAAAAAGAAGTCTGTATTTGAATGGTTTTTAGTTACTTTCGATAAGTTTAACAGATTGTTACACACAGCCCAATATATTCTAATCAAAGGCCTTTTCTTTTTGTGAGCAAAAAGAAAAATGGAACAAACTTCTCAGAGAAAAAAATATCTTTCAGTAAAAAAAAAAAAAAAAAAAAACATCAAAAGTAAACAGAAGATAAAAATAATACCCTGAATAAGTTTTATTTACAGTAGTTCCAAATATTAAATAACCTTTGGCATATACAAAAAACATTTTAATAGGATAGATTATATAAATTTTACTCTTGTAAGAAAATAAAAACACAAGATTTAAAAATCTTAAAAAAATAAATGAAAACTGTTAGAAATTATTCAGATTCTATTTGTCTATATTTCTGAAATGTTGTACATAATTTGGACTGTTGTCCTCATCTTTATTGCTATATTCACAATGTTTCTGCCATTGTATTGCCTAACATATGCACCGATTCCTTAAGTTTTTTGTATCTTCCAGTGATGTTTGTCTATTATTTCAACTTCATCTCACGGGGATAGAGGGCAGTGATTTCCCTCCATATATGGTCAGCCATGCCTGAGTTTTCTATTTCAACTTGTGTAACAGATTTACGGTGTTCCTGCAGTCTAA